GGAGAAAGAGAGAAGGGGAACGAGAAAGAAAGAAAGAAAGAGAAAGAGAAGAAAGAGAAAGAGAAAGAAAGAGAAAGAGAGAGGGACAAGATTAAACTTTCGCAAAACAAAAAAAACGAGTTGGTAGAAACAGAAGAGCAGAGGACGAGGAAGGGAATAGTGAGCGTGGGAGAGGATAGAGATCGCATTTGAATGATGTTCATGATGATGCTTAGTGCTTTTGGCCAGCAGAACTTTCAGATAAGAGAATGAGGCTTAGTGGTTAAGGAGAGGAATGATGATGGCTGAGGAAATGAGAGGCTATTTCATTAATTGTAGTTTACGTCAATTGCTATGATTATTAGTCCCGTTAAAGTAGTTGATCATGATAGTTTTATCATGGGAGGTGATGGTGCTCCTCCCCTGGTGGTTGGATTGTGAAATCCGGCACGGACCCACTTTTCGGCTTGGATATTTTTCTCTTGAGGCATCTCCACAGATAGTGCACCGCCTCAGCCAAGACAATTGCTGAAGCTTGGACTGTTCTCTTAACATATGGTAGCGTAGTAAAGGTGTATGTGCGTGTGAAGGGTGACTACAGATAAGGAAGAGGAAGGAAATATGCGCGCGGTCTCTGGTCCATTTGAAATGGTACTGTGTCGACATTCGCATGGAATGGATCGGAGAAACGAGGAAAATTTAACTATTAGAGCAGCCGTCCGCCAAATATTCTCAACTAGACAACGGCTGAAAACGACTTAGCTATGTGACAAAATTATAGTCAGTGAAAATATTCCGCCTTGTCGAAACTCGAAGACTTGGCCAGTGAGGTCAAAGTCACGGCAGAGACAACGGCAATACTGTCACTGAACTGACCTCAGCCGTTCCGGAGAGGCAATGAGTTCGAGAAGACCCACATGATTCCGCTGACGACTTGATGACGACTTAAGCGTCATTATTAGGGGGTGGATTTTGATGACCTAAAAGATTGTCAAAAATTATAAATAAAATGATCTTACAATGTTTAAAAAATGCCATAATATAAAAATGTAAAAAATGCGATCAAAACCAGTTTAACCATGAACAACTGAAGCTTGATAGGGATTACTGATGGGAATTACTTAGGGAGCCTGGATTACTGATGTAATCCAGGCTTCTTTTATTTATTCAAGTGCGCTTATCTTGAAGCCTTTTGGTATAGATTCGTCTTTTCTAGAAAATGTCTATTCAGTTATTCTGAATTGATTGTACCGTCAATGGCTCTGATAGGCGTCAACCGATAGATTCCATACAACGGCTGACATGACAATTTATGAGCCAACAAATCGAAAGGCTACTCAGCAATTCTAAGGAGAATATTAGTGTCATTTCGCAAATAGTATTTGAAGCAAGTAGCATTTAATTTATAAAATCGGGGGATAAAAAAAATTCATTAAAGTACGGGGAAAGGTAAACATTGAGTAATTAGTCAAATTGAAGAAAATGCAATATCATGGCAATATAAAACTGGGTCATTTGTTTTTTGTCATAACATAAAATTAATTTCTTTACTAAACGTTATTGAACTAAAATGAAAAGAAAAAACTTAATTAAAATCCTTGTCCTAGTCATTATACAGTACTACGCAAACAGGAGGGAGATCCTCTCTAAAGAGAACAACGCGAGATCACACGCAGCGAGGTACGGCGACGGCAGGGGGGAGGGGGAAGGGCGTTGCGTTCAGACGTCTCGGTGTATCTGTCGCCTCCGTCTCCCCTCCGCCCCGCTCCGCCTCCGCTCCGAATCATAAGGCGCCCGCGCCACCTCGTTACCCTCCGACGCCGCGCCCGGCGGTTCGGCGCGCTGATAGACAAGAGCCGGCGCTGATAGGGCTCGCGTTTCCGGCCCTTTCTCAAAGAGCACGCGTCCTCACGTCCTCGCCAGCCGCGTCCTCACCCACGGTGCGCTCATCGCCTGCGTCCAGGGGAGGGGGAAGCTGTCCAGAAGAGGAACCTTCTGGTACGCCAGTTGCAGGATGGAACCTCATATTGTATATACGAGGGAGTCGGTTTATAGTGTTGTAAACTCATACTCTTATATAATAAATAATATATTTATCTCATCTCAAATGATAATTTCAATGAGGCGAACCCCAGTTTTTTAGAGGATAAAGATACAGACTCTCTCCGGCCAAAAGTGACGGTCCAGAAGATGACCCTTGTGGCACGCCAGTTCTTCGCGATGGAATCTCATAATGTTATACGAGGGAGTCGGTTTATAGTGTTGTAAACTCATACTCTTATATAATAATATATTATATATCATCCAAATTATAATTTCAATGAGGCGAACCCAGTTTTTTGAAGAGGATAAAGGTACAGACTCTCTCCGGCGCGAAAGTGACGGTCCAGAAGATGAAGCCTTGGTGGCACGCCAGTTTCGCGATGGAATCTCATATTGTAATATACGAGATGTTTATGGTGTTGTAAACTCATACTCTTATATTATAATACATTATATCTATTCAAAATGATAATTTTAATGAGGCGAACCGAGGTGTTTGAGGGGATAAAGGTACAGACTCCTCTCCGGCGCAGAGTGACTGGTCCAGAAGATGAAATTTGTGGCACGCCAGTTCGCGGATGGAATCTCATATTGTATATACGAGATGTTTATGGTGTTGTAACTCATACTCTTATATTATAATACATTATATATATTCCCAAATGATAATTTTAATGAGGGCGAACCGAGGTGTTTGAGGGGATAAAAGGTAAGACTCTCTCCGCGCAGAAGTGACGGTCCAGAAGATGAACCTTTTGGCACGCCAGTTTCGCGATGGAATCTCATATTGTAATATACGGAGATGTTTATGGTGTTGTAACTCATACTCTTATATTATAATACATTATATCTATTCCAAATGATAATTTCAATGAGGCGAACCCCATTTTTTGAAGAGGATAAAGGTACAGACTCCTCTCCGGCGCAGAAGTGAGCGTCCAGAAGATGAAATTTTGTGGCCGCAGTTGCGCGATGGAATCTCATATTTTATATACGAGATGTTTATGGGTGTTGTAAACTCATACTCTTATATTATAATACATTATATCTATTCCAATGATAATTTAATGAGGCGAACCGCGCGAGGTGTTTGAGGGATAAAGGTACAGACACTCTCTCGGCGCAGAAGTGACGGTCCAGAAGATGAAATTTGTGGCAGTCGCAGTTTAGCAAGATAATGGGAAACGTGGGATACCTTTGAAGCAAGGGGAATTATGTAACAGTGTGCAAGTGCAGGAGTAGAGATGATAAAGCATCGGGGCCATCGTTACGTCTCAACACGTATTTATTATTTTATTTATTTACGTCAAAAACAGTTAAAAACTGTGTGGCGTGCTATGAGAAGAAGTTAATTTGAAGTTACATTTATGTTGAGAAACAAAACAAGGGACCATCTCAGCATTTGCTCGAGGATCAGGGAAACTGGACGAAAAACTGATCAAAATTTTGTACATGTAATTCGAAAGTTATAAAATAAAGCGATATTGCTGCGGACGAGAGCTATATTCACTTAAGATACTGTAATATAATTGGCTTCTCATGCTAGTAGGCTGGTGTCTGTAGTGGAACTGATTAACCAAGTTCCGAAAAGTCACGGAGGTTAAGCGCCGAAGGACGCTGGATGTGTCGGTAGATATGGACAAAAGGCAATGTCATATTACAAAGTACGTATTTAGTACATTATTACGTATAACTATCTTCATAAAAATTCCGTGTTAAAAGTGTAAATATTGCCTTGGAACATTTTTACGATACTGTTACCTATTTGTTGATTCAGAGGTTGGTGCTAGTGAGTGCCAGTATAAACATGTTTGTAAATTAGAATGAAGGTTGTGTTGAGTACTTTTGAAAAATAAATCAACTGGATGTGGGGTTTAAAAGATTCTAGATTTCATTTTAAAGAATCGTAAGTCTGAAGAAACTCAGACAAAAAGATCTGTAATCGACGTGGACGCCTCTAGTCTTAACTAAATCCGAAGAGTTCAAATAGATCCTATGATACAAGGAGAAGGGTACAAATCATTGCGTATCTTTCAGAAGTGCGGCCAAGAAACATCAAGCAAACGATAACATTCTGAGATGTTCCCTTGTTTTGCTTCTGAACAAAAAATGAATTTTATTGCCACGTACGATGGAAAATATATTGTTTACTGTTTTCTAAATAAAATAAAATTATATAAAATAAAATTACATAAAATAAAATTACATAGAATAAAATTACATAGAATAAAATTACATAGAATAAAATTACATAGAATAAAATTACTTAGAATAAAATTACATAGAATAAAATTACATAGAATAAAATTACATAGAATAAAATTATATAAAATAAAATTAAAATATGCTCTGCGATTCAATACCAGTATTTTTATTTCTCTTTCAGTAGTGCAGATATAATGAACACACTTGACACATAGCAACACTTAACACATAGTAGGTTTTAAGTAAGAAAAACTTGAAACTGACCAGTCATTCTTTAATCTGGTACGTACGGTAACATTGAGGGATATGCAAGAAAGTTCTACGACACGCATTTTATAATAATATTTGTAGATACATTTCATAAACTTTCCACGTTGTCATTTGTAAATTTGCTTAGTCATTACATCATTGGCCTCAAATTCTTGCGAGATCATCAGAAGAGATACTGTGACACGAAAAATAGGTATAAGAAAAGCACCAGCAATAACACTGGGTCAAAAAATTTGGGTAAATGAAGAAAGTCAGGTAGATAAAAACGAAGAGAAATAACCTGGAGATTAAAGAAGATGAAACTCGGAGAATCAGACAAAGAGAGTAAGAAAAAAGTTAGAGATCCGATAATAGAGAAAAATAGAGAAAGAGGGAAAGAGACGGAGGAGGAAAATATTAAAGGAAAAGGAAAGAATTGATAGAGAAAGAAAGAGATAAAGAGAGGAAGAGAGAGAGGGAAAATAAAAAAGGAAAAAGGAAGAACAGAGGAAAAAGTGAAAAACATAGAGAAGGCGCACTCCTCTGCTGCTACTGCTGCTGCCGCTGCTGCTGCTGTTGCTGCTGTTTCTGTTGCCGTTGCCACTTCCGCTACCGTTGCTGCTGCTGCTGCTGTTGCTGCTGATGGCGCACAATTACCGCGGACGCGCGATTCTAGGGCGGAGGAATGCGGCCCAGGAATTTTCGCGACGCCTCGCCTCGCGTGCATTCTCTTGCCGCCGCCACCGCCCTCGCGTCCTTCCTCTGACCATCCAAGCTCAGGGCGAACCCCTGCAATTTCGCTGGTGGCTCCACTGAGTGTGGTGGGTTGGGTGCTCTACCACGTGTCGCGTCTGCACCGAGTTCGCGTCCGTAATCTTTATGAACAGATAGGGGATGTCTAACAGCCGCCGGCTGCTCTGATTGGAACACTTCGATTAAAACATTAAGTGTGTTGTCTGTTGGTCAGCTGTGACACTGTCATGCCATCGGAAGCTTGAACGACACCATAGTGACGTCACTATCGTAACGTTCAAACTTCTGAATGGATGAGAGAATCACAGCCGATCAAACTCCTGAATGCAATTAATGTTTTGATCTATGTATAGTTTTCCGTGTTTTCTCCTATCAACACCACTCGAATGCCGGAGTAGTTCTCTAACAAGACCGCGTACGATATTATCTTTGCTTTCCTTGTATTATCTTCATCCCCTACGAACACACACGCACTTACATTTACTACACTACTACACATGTCGTGAGACGAATGCGAGACGTAAAGCTTGTCTATGTTGGGGCGTTGCCTCGCTGATGGGAGATACCTGGTTGGGGAAAACCTTACTAATCTTCGTGTAGGTCGGCGCCAGATATCATCCAGCGGCAGAAAATTATCGATGCCTCCAGAGGAAAAACATGCCCTACACTTACGGGACTAACCTTAGCAGAGGGCATACCGGGAAGTACGAAATAATCAATCATTGATCTACATGTCTCAGAATGAATATTGCAAACTTCTATGGCATTTATGATGGGGAAAACGGTCACTTGTTACCAATGAACTGGTGTGGTGAGAAATCTCATATAACAAAGTTACTCATCTTATACGTGTTCCTGATTGCCACTCATTGGTGTTGAAAGCCACTCGTTTTGGTACCATTAAAGGAATTTTTGTACCTGCTTAGCACCAGTGCAAGAATAGTTGCCTACAAATCAGAGGCAAATGTCATACGAGTAGCTTTGTTATATAAGATTTCACATCGCATATACGTAAATGAGTATGTTCGTTCCCCTTCATGGGGATACTAGAAGTTTGAAATATTCATTCTGAACATTAGAGGGGGAATGATTTAGATATGAGCTCTATTTTAGCCTCGAGAAATCTCAACAAAATGTTAACCAATATTTTAAAGGGGATACAATACCCAACTTAGGGGTATTCACGATTCAAACTATTATCTTAAAAAATGTTGTTTTTTTGTTTTTGTTTTTTATGGTTGTTTTTTTAATATTTAGATTTTTGTGTGAATATGCAATCCGCAATGCAGATAGGTATTGCGGATTGAGAGACAGCGGGGCAGGCGAGTGGTGAGGGATAGGTCGAGTGGTGGCAAGGCAAGGAGAGGAGGGACGTCATACAACTTGGAGGAAGGAGTGGCGGGTGGGAGCGGGGAGGACGGGTGGTCATAAGTAAATTGCGGACCAAATAATCCCTTGACTATTTCTCGCAAAACAAATACTTGCGAGATCATCGGAAGAGATACTATCACATGAAAAATAGGTATATGAAAAGTACGCAAAACAAGACAAATAAAAGCCGCCATTGGGATCATCAATAAAAGAAATGATGTAAATATGAAGGTGTAAGTCTCGTCCTCGGTCTACGCTCGGATAGAGAGTCGTCATAAATATCATCATTATCTTCATTATCATCAATGTTCACTCAGTGAGTCCCTTTCTCTACAGCTGGGATATTCACGAAGATTTCACACAATGTCCCAATAATATCGAATGATTTAAAAAAAATAAACAGCTATTATATCTATGGAATTTCAAGGGTATACTGTATTGCCAAACTTCACTATGTAAAAAAGTCAGTAACAGAAACAACATTCGGAAATCGCCAAATTGAAAAAAGTCAAGTTATTATCACAAGAATCAGATATCTTCACTCAATACACACCCATCAAATAACAAAGTTTTAAACAATACTTTGTTCAAAATCCATAGATTTCGTATTACTATTACCCATGTGATTTTTAAATGTTAAGGAGTCGAAATTGTCAGTGTCATTCTTCATTTCAAGAACAACTTTTTTCATTCAAAAGACGTTTGTAAATTGTTTACAGTTTTGAAAGGGACTGAATTTAGAATGATATACGTTTTCAGATATAGTCCAAGATTTGACTTGTTTTTATCGTAAATAAATTCTTGTGTTTAATTATTTTACTGCATGATTGTTATTCTGTAAAATGAACTAAATTCTTGTTAAAATTATAGAGGTTGTTAATTATCAATATTATTTATAAAGTGAAAAAAAATCGAAAATATACGAAAAATAAAGCCAAGATTTTTGTAAAACTATTAATTAGTGTGACTCTTACAAACGGTTCTGAAAGTATTCCCATTTAGAGGCGCCGTATCTCCGCAAGGAAGAAATTACAAAACACGTATAAGACGACGGCGGTGGCCAGGGATTCCGACCCAAGGCGCGGTTCCATGGCAAGGAATGCAGCCCCGGCATGTTGGTTACAGCGGAAAGGAGACGAGGGCGGGGCCGGAGTGGAACGCGGCCGAGGGTGGCGCCATCTCTTGGCGGCCATCCGCGCAAATGGACGCGACTCGGCGGAAGTGGAGGGGGGCGGGAGTGGAATGCCGTCTAGGGCAGGGTGGAATCGCGAGGTTGGACGCGCCGCCCGCAAATGAAAATTTGCTAAAATAGACCTTCCAGCTGGAGAGCATTTCACGCGGCTGGACGAGCACGAAGCGATCGCAGCGACGTAGTGGCTGTAAGTGATTTCTGAATTAATGTAAAATACTATTTTAGTGTACAAGGAGGATTAAGAAATCCTTCTACGATAGAATATATTACCTCGCGACGAAGAAGCGAGTGATATAATAGTCTATTATGCAACTAGTTTATAAAGTTATGTGTTATTACATGCGTACCTGTTTTGGAAACAGTCGATGTTACGAGCGTGTTTTCAAATGGGTGAGAATGGAATAAAGCAATGTTATAAACAAGTTTCATACGCAATTTTTTGTATAACAATGTTATATATTTTTTTGTAATCAAATTTCCAAACAATTTTTTGTTGGCAGCATAGACGTTGGAATTTTTCGTCAAAAAATGAGAATGGACAGGGGGGATGGGAATTGAGGATTAGTGGTAGGAACGGCAAAAATGAAATGAAAACAGGAAGAATAAAATGCAATGTGTGCAGTAAAATGCCAGTTTATGAACGATTTATTGCAATGGAAAAGGTCGTTTATAATGCAGATAAACATGATTCAGCTCTCTAGTACTATCTAAAATACTGCCGCACCGTGAGGACTCAAACCCTAGGACCGCCCAGCCCGAGACACTGCAGTGACATATGTTTATGTACTGACACCTAAACCGGTGGAATGAACTCATAATGAACAGAACGTACACAGAAATCTGAGTTTCACGAAATAAGAAATAAACGTTTGATTTAGCTTTAATTTTAACCATTACTTCTCATGAAAAGGATTGTTTAGATATTATGCCTATCGTGGAAATGCTCACAATATAAATGGAAGAATAAAATATAAACTTTTTTTAAGTACTTACGTTCCAGTATTAGAAACAGAGGCACGGTTGTGGAATCATGTCCATCTTCATCCTCTTCAAATTAACAGAATTCATTTTACTCGCGAAAGATGTGTTAAGATATTCTGCAACAGAGAACCAAGAAAGCAAATACATATTTGATATTTGATAAAGGAGAATTTTCAAAACATTATTTTCATGCTTGTATTTCTTAGCATAATATACATATCGTGTACATCGTGTGGACAAACAAAAATGAAAAAAAGAACACAACATTTCATAATAGATAATGAAGAATAATGTGCTTTCCTATTTACAAAAAATGGAAGTGAATGTCATGTTCTGAAGAAAAGTGATTTTTACATGCTTTAATTAAAATAATCATTTAAACTTGATAAACGTTTTTCTGTTCGGTTGTCTCCTACGCCAGGACTTTATTTCAGAGCTGCCAGCCTTCACGGTATAATAATTATCGATTTAGCACAAAGTTTGAAAAAAACATTCAGCCTTAATATAGGCTGAAGTAGAAAATCTAGTAAAACATATCGTTCTTTTCAATATCCAATTCAAATATCAGCAATCGAATGAACCAGAAGCAAAATATATCTTTCCACTTGAAAGAGAACTGAAGAATTGAGGTATTCATAATGTATTTTACTTTCTCGCTACGCAGTAGAGAGAAAAGTATGTATTGCCGCGCGAAAAAATGGCAAATTTGTAGAAGAAAACTCTTATAACAGAAGAGTAAAGTAGAAATTCCTCTATCACGTGATGTAGCCGAATGACGTGATGTAGCCCTCTGTGTGTCCGTCAGCGATGAACGCTAATGGTTAAACCGTTCAGCCGATTTTTTCCAAAATTGGTATTCCTTAATAGATTTGGATGAATTTGAAACCGATATTTTAATTTTGGAATTACTTTACATGTAGCTCATTTTCAAGTTTTAAAAAATTGCTCCATCGTTTTTGATTAAATTTTGTTGTTGGATAATGTAAAGGACTGAGCATGATGCAGGCCTCATGATCGTTAAAAACCCAGATTTTTCGAAAATTGCAAGAGTTCAAATATTTTCGTCTTTCTACAACTAAATTATTAAAGATATAGGTATTTTTCCTTAACTAAATATGTTCGTTAAAGACAGATATTCAAATAAGGTCATGTACAATTTTTCAAGAATTTGAGTTCTTTTTGTATTAAATAAGGGCGGCAAAGTACATGCCGTTTTAGCATCACTAGTTATGAATATGGTAATTATGATCATGGATAAAACATTAACACAAGGCGATATAAAAGGGAATAATGCCTAGCCTTCGCAGATGTGTTGCTGGTTGCACGTACCAAGAAGGCGCTTGAGCAATTCAGGTGAGGGCACAATTCATTATGGATTAAAAATCAATGTTCACAATACAAATTATATGAGAGTAAGGCCAAAGTTACCCAAGTAACTTCAATTCACATTATCAGTGCAGTCTATGAAGAAGTGAGCTCTTTTCAGTATCTGGGAGCAATTTTATACTTGAAACAATGATGAGAAAGAAGAAATAGAAGCAAGAATAGTAGCGGAAAACAGAGCGTATTTTGTGCATTTGCAGCTATTTAAAAGTAAAATTTTATCAAAGGGAGCAAAATTTACACTGTACGAGACAGTGATTAGACCACTTGTAACTTGTGCCGCAGAAATGAAGACTATAAAGGACTAAAGGATGCGCAGCATCTTGCGGTTTTTGAAAGACGGATTATGAAAAGGATATTTCTACTAGTGAAATTGCCCAATGGATATTGGCTGATTAGGAACAATTTCGAACTGAACTGTGTACAAAAACATTTTAAATTGGCATGGGATTAAGTTGCCTTGATTATCTGAATAGGATGTCGCATGACAGAATAGTGAACAAGATCTTTAGCTAAAATCCAGTGAGCGCCCGAAAAAAAGACGGCCTAAAAACAGATGGAAGGATGATGTTGTCAAAGAAATCAGGAAAATAAAGTGTGAATGGAGCAATCGAAGAATAACAAAAAATGGAAAGGATGCTTGAGGAGGCAATGACGTTCATTTGAAAGTCGTAGAGTCTTAGAAGAAGAAGTTATCAATATGTGTTGAACTTTTAAAGCGTAAAGACAAGTTATAAGCGATAATTTCAAAAACGAATTCAACTCATTTATCTCATTTTATAAAATCAATTGAAACGCCCTATGTAGAAAGGGTACACGTTCACACTTCTGTCATTTTAATGTTATGATTGATATTCCTTCCTCTTAGCTTTCTTTTATCCTTCCTTTTATCATTCACTGTGCAAAAAATTAACTTCTTTGCTCTTGTCATTTTTGCTGAATGTGTGAATGAAAAGAATAACGCAATGTAGAAAAGGGACATGTTGCAAACCAGTAATGATTTTGTATTGCTTGCGGTTGGTAGCTAGGTGAAATTTCTAAGGCTGTGTTGTGTGCTCTATTTTATTGCTTACACTTAAGTTTTAATGTTCTTTAAAATAGTTTTGTAAATATATTTTGCAAGGAAAGGACGTTATTTTTTTTAAAAACATTAATTTACAGGAATACCATGAAGGCAAGGAGAAGCTTAATTCAGAACTTAGGGAAAGGTATGTTATTAAGAAATGGTTAGGTTATAAGATCAAACGTTTGAGAGACCTAAAGAGCAGTAATTCCAGATAAAAAAGCGGGTGAATATTGTAAATTTCGTTTAAAATGTTTTGAGATCCCACACTGTGATGAGAATGTAAGGCATTTCAATAATTTGGTTACAAAATATATTCAAGATAATTGCTAGGGTTATACATTAAGCTCTAATGATTCTAGTGATTAAATCTTATGAACTACAGAAATTTTGAATTTATAATAAATAATTTGTAATTTTTCACCAAATGTATCCTTAAATTCACCCTAATAGGATTTTTTAACTTAATTCACCCTTATATTGCCGTAAAATTTTCCGTGCATTATATTTCACGTGCTTATTTTCCGTGCTTAATTCACCCTTATATTTCCGTGCATTTTTACTTATATAATGTGTTGACTGGAGAATGAAATCATATTTGTGAAGTAATCATTGTCAGAAACATTATGAAAAACCATTATTTTTGTAAAATATCTACACAATGTTAAAAAGTATTTCAGTATATTTTGCAGCATACTGCGTCCAGATACTGCAAATGTATCTGCAGAAAAGTTATTAAATAAAATATTAATAAATCTTCTTGCAAATTGTTTTTTAATCTCAAGTAAAGTAGTGAAAATGTGAGATTTACCCTTTCTGCATTGAGCGATTCAATTCGACATCAATGTAATTTTCACAATTGTAATGACAATTATTAAAATTAACTACACACAGTAAGTCGCAATTTCAGTAGGAATATTTTTCTTAAAAAAATAAATAATTGCAATTATCCACTTCAAAATGAATATGGTCCGTCTTTCCTTTTAAATTCCTATTTATTAGAAACGAGACCGAAAACGGGAATTAGTCATGATTTTATCATGCCACACACATACTTGTAGCAATATATTATTTTCGTTAAATTTGTGAAGCATTCAAACTGCATATATTTATTACGAATGTACAGCATTAATTTACTAAAATTAAATGTTTTATTAGATAAGTCCACAGCTTCTCTGCCCCCCTCCCCTCGTGCCCCCATCCAATATTAGAAATATAGATCATGAATGTTAATTTTGAGAACCATTCCAATTCACATATCTCATTGCAGCGTTCGCCTCCCACGCACTTTCTGGTACCCCCTGTTACCCCATGCTTATAAGGCTTAGGAACGCTTTCCAAATTTTTCGCAGAGTGCCAGAACTCCTTTGCCCCTCCTACCCTGCACGCTCGTCTAAGGTTAGAAGGATAGATCATTCGCGTTAATTTCGAGACCCATTCCGACTCGCGTAATATCTCATTGCGCAATCTCAATTGCGTTAAGCGTCAGCAGCCGTCCGCGTCCCGCGTCGCCGGGCTCGCTCGCGCTGTGCAGTCGCCCCCTCCGTGTGCGATCGCCCCCTCTCGGTTGGTGGGCGCGAGGGGGAGATAGGATCTGCGGACGGGCGGCGAAGAGGCTGTTCATTGGTGCGATCGCCCAACAAGTAGGCGGGCGCCCGCGGAGGAGGGGGGCTCGTGGAGGGCACGGAGAAGTGACGAGGGATAGTGGCGGAATCTAGGAGGAGAGGGACATATTTCGATTGCATCCCGTGGTAAACATGTTCTAAGCCTTTTAGGTACCTTCACAAGAAGAGTAGCCCGATTGCACTCCGCTCGTTTTCTGCTCGTGAGTGTAAGTGTTCGTTCAGGTGATACTGCGGGATCTGTGGACGGGCGACTGAGGCTGTTCATTAGTGCGATCGCCCAGCTCGTGGGCGGGCGCCTGCCCAATGCAGCAGGCACGGGGAAGCAGAG